GAAGCCACCGCGTGATCTTATGTCTCACTTCAAATGGGAGGGCCCTAGAGAAAAGGGAATTTGCCTTCTTCGTCAGTGATGACGTTAGATCTTAGTTGGTTCTAACTTTATCCTTTAAAAATCTCGACCTCCATTTTTATACACCTTAGATGTCCGAGTAGGGAAAGGTAAAAAAGAGGAAGTGATACAGGGTGTCCCACCGGGAAACAAATTCATCTTGTCATATATGAAAAATTGTATGCAGAAATTTTTTGAAAATTCGACAGTATACTAATTGGGGCAACCCGGCTAAAATATTTTCAAGATTATTATTATTATCATTATTATTATTATAAAGCATTTATTGCAAAAATTCCAAACAAACATCAATATATCAACATAATATAAAATAAGAATTACAATAGATTAAATAGATAGGTACATCCATCCACAAAGTATAAAACGGGTATGTACCTACAGAAAAAAGAGCCATCGCGAGAAAACGACAATTATTAGAAGCTACAGCATCCAGCCAACAACTGAATTTTCGGTAAATAACAAAAAAATATAAGCAGGTATGTGCAGTCAACCTTGAGTACGTAGGTACCTATTTTTTGTATACCTATATAACTAGGTAGGTACCAGATTCAACAAATGATTATCAAAATTGTTTTTATTGAATGGGGTTTGGGATGGGTGGGTGGGCCACTTCACCATTTGCCCGGTGGGCCAAATGACCCCCAGTCCGACACTGGATTAGGGGCGCGTTTTGATAATAATTAGTTCTACAATATGGAATATAAAATAAGTCATGGTTTCTAAGTGTTCGAACAAGTACATTAAATTTAATTTTCAATAGAATGCTTGGAGAGCTAGATAGATTCTTGACGATCTTAAATATTGTTGAAATGTCAGACATGGTTCGTCTTTTCTCCAATTCAAGAATTTTATAATGTGATCGAGCCATTGAGTAGTCATGATTTGCAATGTAAAAATGAGTTTTATAACATAAAAATCGTGAAAATTTATTTTGAATTTCTTCTAGTCTATCGATGGCGTTCTTGTATCTGGGGCTCCATATAGTAGAAGCAAATTGTAGTTTGCTAACAACATAGGAATAATAAAGAGTTATAATTGTTTTATAATTATGAAAATCAGCACCCTGTCTTTTGATAAATCCAAGAATCCTATTACAATCATTAACCAATCTGTCAATGTGCAGATTGAAGGACATTTTGGAATCAAATAGGACCCCCAGATCTTTGATGTGAGAAACCCTGTTCAAAGAAGTATTTCCTAATTTGTAGTCATAATTTATTGTTGTTGATCCTCGTGAAAATGACAAAATTGAGCATTTTTCAAAGTTTAAAGATAATTGATTTTCATCACAAAACTGTATTAAGGTATTTATACTAGTCTGAAGGGTCTCACAATCTGCAATAGAGGTAATCCTAAGAAATATTTTTAGGTCATCAGCATAGCACAGAAACAGGCAGTATTTAAAGCATATCTCTATATTATTGACGTAGATTGCGAACAGGAGAGGACCAAGATGGGAACCCTGAGGGACCCCCGAGGATGGTGTGAATCTTTCAGAACAAAACCCTAACAGGGCAACAAACAGATCTATTGAGTAAGTATGATTGAAATCTTCTCAGGAGGTCACCACAGATTCCCATCTCCGCCAGCCTGTCAATCATAATGTTATGGCAAATTTTGTCAAATGCCTTGCTAAAATCAGTATAAATTACATCTACTTGACAAATAGTCCAAGAAACGGTGATCTGAAAAGAGGGGTTACCTCAACATAATTAGAAGTTGAAATTTTTTTGGGGGGATCGGTCCATTTTAATATGCTAAACAACATATTAAGTTTGCGACCTTGTAGTTCCATAGGGTTTTCAGTTAGGGGTGGTTTTTAGGGGTAATTTGCGGTTTAGGGAGAACGCTGCTCAAAGGGATGGTTCAATAGTAAAATGAATGTTGTAGCTGAAGTTTTTTGCTATAAAAAACTCAGCGACAGCACCCCTCTATCTTCTATAGTTTTTTTTCTGCAGCGTCTTGAATAGTAGCATGTTTTTGTTTAAGGTCACTGAATCAACGTTTTGCCATTTTGCGCGCATTTCTTGCAGCAGCGGCCGAATGCATAATCCGATTTCAATTTTTCAAACACCACATTATTGCTAATTAAATGCACTCTCCAATGCTTTTTTGTTCGAATTTTTTGCTTGAAAATTAAGAGAGCACGGACTTGTCTAATGTGCGAGGAAGTTGTAAATTGCATCGAAAACTACCCCTTTCTTGCATTCACTCTAATTTCTAAACGGGGCCAAATATTTGGTGACAGTTTTCGACAATCGGCAGCCCATTTATTCCTCTCATAATGCCCCAGCGGATTTTTTTTTTTCGTTAATTACTTAATGACTTATTGGCCTGAAAATGTCGCGCGGGATTTTTCAAAAAGTAAAAAAAAAATAAAATTGTCGCATAGCGCTGAAATTTGGTACGCCAAAACTATGGCAAAAAATTTTGTAACTGTCTAGTTAGATATCAATTAAGTTAAAATACATTTTCCAAGAAAATTTACTGAGTTCCAAAGTATTTTCTCTGGAACTCATTAAATAGAGATACCCCAACAGTACAGTTTGGTGTACAATCTCTATTGAGAAAAAATACAGAGCATTTTCATTGATGAACGATGAACCCAACAATAACAGAAACTGTATACACTGATATGCTCTTTTTCTCACAGTTAAGACAGGAGGTTATCTTGGATGATATCTATTTTCAGCACCATTATTCTTTGATAGCAAGGGAATCAGAAATGAAATTTGGGGAAAGACGGACAAGAGAGCTGGCCTATAAAATGGACACCTTACTCTCTTGACTTGAGAGTTCTAGACTTTTTTCTCTGGAGCTATGTCAAGGAAAGATGCGGTAATACTTTGCTCAAATAGGCTGAAAGATCTTAAGCGGGACATTTGTAAGGTCATTGAAGCGATTCTCCAGAATATCACAATTCATTCAACCATCTATTGATCCATAAATACCTGGAACAGAATGGCTAACATATACATATAGGTACCTACAGCATTTTGTGTAGTTTTATGCAGTTGTTATTAACTTTCTATTAGGCAAACATCAGTTCCAAGCTTTGAAAATATCCATTTGCAAAAATACCAAGATTTCGATTTTGACTTTTTTACAGCTAAAACTTCCAGTTTTAGGGACGATGTCTATTGGTACATGGATACCTTAAACATGAATCTTTTTTTGACGTTGTGATATACAGGGTGTTCCATTAGAAATAGTGGAGAATTTCGATGTTGAAAAACGGATTTTTTTTTACTCGCCCTGTATAAGTTTCAAAAAAAAATGAAACCTACTAGAAAAAACTTTAGACCAAGAGAAATCGAATGGCACAAACCGCAGGTAGCTAGCTCACCTGGTTTAAAAGTTATAAGCATTTAAAATGGGTCACTCTCGGCTGGGACACCCTGTATACTGATAGGTCTATAATTTTTGACATTATTCTTTTGACCATTCTTGTATATTGGTTTAATAGTAGAGGCTTTCCATGCATCTGGAAAAAATCCAGAGGAAAGAGACTGGTTGAACAGTAGTTTCAAGGGCAGACAGCGTGAAGCTGAGCATTTTTTTGCATATAAGGCTGGAATATTATCAGGGCCTGCACCCTTTTTTTCAACCAAACCCTCCAGAGCTCTTTGTACTTCGGTCTCAGTTAAAATTATCTTCGAGAGCGATTTGTTTTTAGGTATTGAATGTGTTTTATTTGTTATTTTCTTTGTAGGTGACTTTGCAACACATACACTCTGAAAGAAATCAGAAAACAACCTACTGACTCCAGCACCGTCCTCTGCCACCTTGTCGCCAAATTTCATTTCCTTAGGTGTTCCGCCACTCGATCGCTTATTTGACACAAAGTTCCAAAACTTTTTACTATTGTTAGGTATTTCATTTTTCCATTTTTTGTGCAATTTATTTTTTTTGAGTATCAATTTAATTGTATTTTTAGAAAAATAAACAGGAAAATTATTATTTAAACGTTTTAGCGGAACTTGATTTTGTATGATTCTATTTGGGGTGTCATAGAATAAGGTGACATTTGTGTTTAAATGATTGAAATTAAGGAGAGTAGGCCAATTTTGTAACTGGAGATCATGGTTAATGTCTTCATAGTTTGCTTGTTTGAAATTTCTGAAGTATTTTTTCTTGCACTTTTTTTTTTAGGTAAGCGTTAGGGCAGTCTACTAGGAACTCCAAAGAGGGGTGATGTATGTTTTCAGGTAGCAGAGGATGGGTGGAATGGATCAAGTTGTTAATGAAAAACCCATCACAAAATATTAAGTCTAAAAGTCTGTCATTTGTATTATATATGTTATTAAATTGCATAAGACTATTATGAGAAAAAGACTCCAGTAAATCGCTATATTTTGGTGGTACATTAAAAGGTTTAAAATGGCTATCATCTTCGAGCCAATCAACCGTTGAGTAATTAAAATCTCCACATATTAAAACAGGGTAATCTTTCATTTTACTTAAATTTATGCTCAATTTTGTTGAAAAACAGGTATAATTAACATCATCACCATGTGGGAGATAGACACAACATAAATACACTTTTATATTACCCACAGTCAAAAGAGCTCAAACATCTTCAGCATCACTGTGAAACTCTTCAAGTGCAATCGGATTGTATTTGTTCTTAATTGCTATAAGGGCGCCGCCACCTTCTTCTTTCTTAGAGCAAGCCGTAATTCTATCTCTCCGAAAAACTGAGTATCTTCCCAAGTCAACGAGCTCATGATCAAATATTTTATCATTCAGCCACGACTCTGCAATGAAGGTAACATCAAAAGGACAACTATCAAATGAAAGCTTAAGTTCCTTTAATTTAGTACGACACCCTTGGATATTCTGTACATTAACTAAGAATGAGGAAGCCATTTCGAGCTATTAAGGTCTTCAAGTTGGAAAGATGCAAGCCTTTGCAAAGTAAACTAAGTATCAAGCTCACTGCTGAGACTGTCCTCGTTTAGAATCTTAACAGCAGGCGATGTGGGCGTTTTCTTTACATATACTGAGCCATTATAAGTATAGGCAGCTTCGACAGTTTTTTGCCTCCTTGCGTCTCTCGCAAGTTTAAATAGTTTTTGGTTTTCTATGGTGAGATCCTCATTGAAATAAATGATCCCGCCTTGTAATCCACACGAGTCCGCTGTGATTTTGCCAATTTCCTTGCGTCTCTTGAATAAGGCACTTCTATCCTGTTTGCTGCATAATTCGACTGAGATTGAAGAGTTCTCTCTCGCACTCAGATTATAACATTGTTTGAACTGCAGAGATTCCAAATTTAAATGCTTGAAGACCGTCTTAACTACTTCAGGGAGATTTGCATTTCTTTCCTATTTTAGGCCAGAGATTATTATTTTGTTTTCCTTCTCCTTTTGCTCAGACAGACTCACTCAACAATGATGATGATGTTTTGTTTCAAGGCGTTGGTTTCCTTATCATATTTTTTTAGTGTGTCTGTGGCCTTGATTAGTTCTTTTTTTTGATCATCGTAGCATTGTGAAATGAACTCAGCTGAACCTTTAATATCATCAATTTCCTTTTTTAGCGTATTAGTTGTCTTAGATAAGACTTGTGCATAGGACTTTGGTACTGAGTCCATTGTGGATTTAAGCTCAGGCTTAAGTTGTTGAACGTCTCGCTTCATGTCACGAAGGTTATCGCTTATTTGCTTGATGTTGCACAGGCAGCCTTCACAGAAGTAGAGTATGATGCGTGATTGCGTCATAAGTGCCCGTATGTCGCTTGATGTAACTTTCGAACACTCTCTGCATACGATGTTCCTGCACAAGTCGCAAGAACCCCAAAAAAGGTCCTTTATGTTCCTATCCTTGGTAACATCCATATAAACGCACGACTTATTGCACTTAAAACAGGTCCCCATTTTTACAGGTTAATGTTTTGCAAAGCCAATTTTCTTTTAAGAAAACTAGGATTTGACTCTGCTTACGTGTGTCCCTGTTTTACTTAATGATAGAACTGGTTTTTGGTTTATTTACTATTTATTTTTCAAGAAAATTTGCAAAAACGCGGGCCGAATTTCCCGACACTGTTTACAATAACCTAACCTCACTTTTATGTTGATTCACGGATTTGGAGTTTTTGATCGGTGATACCTTGAATGGTTACGTTTTCTTCGGAACGATAGGGGAATTTATGGACAGTATTTTCTTTAAAAATTGAAATGCCTGCACCTGTATCAATAAGTAATCTGAATTTATTGGAAGCATCGTAAATGTAGTACAGATTTTTCGAATTAACAGTAAGAAGTATGGGTTAAATAAATGCTTGTTCCGGAAAATTGAGGTTCGGACTCATGTTGTCTAGATTCAGAAGTTGTATTTGAGTCTCGATATTTGAAGTGTGATCTTGAGGCGTATTCTCTGGCGGATGATGATTGGTGAAAGGTACCAGAATATCCTGATAATGTTCAGCGTTCGGATCAGTAGTACACTCTTCAGCATATACTCGTTTTCTTCATAACTAGCATCTTGTTCATAATGAGGGCTTTCAACGTACTCAAGTTCGTTGGCATATGTTTCATTAGAGGAATCATTTAAAAGATGAGTTTTTTGCTGGTTAGGGTAAAAACTGGGGTTTCTTTGAGGGGTAGTTGAAGCGTATCTTGGTACGAATTGTTTCGAAGTGGATGCATTTTGGGTTCTATTTTGCAGAGCATTGGTTGTTGGTTGTTGGTTTGCGGTGCCTGAGTAGTTAGTTGTTGTCGTTTTTTGGAAATTCGGAAGCATTTTATGGATGATCGTGGTTTGTTGAACAGGCGGTTTTGGAGTCTTCTGATTCTCAAAATAGGAAAGGCGGATTTCTCTCCTGATTCTACATTGAGCATCTAAAAGAGAGTGTGGGTTTCCTGCTCTGATAATCTGGCCAAGGCAAGGTTCTAGGCCTGTAAGAAGAATGTTTAGGGCCATAGATTCCACAAGGGAGGACTGTGCTTCTTTTTGATTTACTGTTTTATGGTGTGGTGACTTTTGGATAGAAGAATGCATTTTTGCATTCAGTACTTGGAGTCTGTTGTAAAAAGTAAGGGGAGACTCGCCAAGTAGTTGTTTGAGTCGTTGGAGGTCAGTGATAAGAGCTGAGAGGTCTCTAGAATCTCCAAAGTGTAAATTCAGAAGTTGTTTGATCTCCAAATAGGAATTGGGGTTTCGAGAACTTATCGGTTAACCTGCTCTACCTCTGAGCCTTTTTTTAATGTGAATAACAAGTCAAACTTTTTGCTGCTTGGTTGCCATATTGTAGGCACAATCGCATGCATTAATAAAGTTTCCTAAGAAGATTTGATCTCCTTCAAATTCAGGAATTATCGAAAATATTTCAGAAAGTTTGTATGGTTCAACTTCCACAGTGGTTTCATTGGTGTCATTAGGCATTTTGTTGATTCAAATTAAAATATTCAAAAACAAAAAAAGGTATTTTGAAAGTAATTGATTGACAAACTTTCCAAAATATGGTTAATGGAAACGATTTATGATAATTGGTTGGTAAATTTTTAAAATATGGTAAAATAAAACGATTTTTAAGGAAATAATTGATTGGCAAACTTTTCAAAATAGACAAAATATGCTAAATTAAAACAATTTACAAAAATTGGTTGGCAAATTTTCAAAATATGGTAAAATGAAACTTCGCAAAATATGGTAAATGCAAAAAAAAAAAATAATAATAGGGAATGTTTGAAAAATCAAACAGTATCATAAATTACGGAAAAAATTAACGAGACAATTCTTTAAGTACTAACATTAAAAGAATATGCTCCATGGAATCGTCGTGTTCACTTCGAGTTGGGATTCTTCCGTTCTTTTTCTTTTTAAAGGATTAGAATCCGCCGCTATCAGTTACAATATTCTTGTTCTGACAGCGTTGACAGATCCTACCGACTGCGCCAAATTGTTATCTCAAAAATTCTTGAGGACACTTTTTTAATGAACACAAATTTATTTAAAAAAATTATATTGGACATTAACTTAACTAACTTAATGATGACAGCTTAAACTTAAGAGACAGGGTCTTTTATATTTTAAAATATGTTAATCTTGCTGTTTCTAGGGGAGGTTGCGACGATGGAGCAGTTCTTGGCATGACATGTTCAGACAGGATAACTTGCTGAAGAAGTTTCTAGACTTAGCGATAGGCTTTGTACGACCGTGGTACTGAGACGCGTCTGGAGGTCATTGTAGTCGTGAAATCTATATAGCATGTATATGTTAGCCTTTCTGTTCCGGGCATTTATGGATCAGCAAATGGTTAAATGAATTGTGTAACATTTGGGCAATCGCTACAATGACATTACAAATGTTCCGTTTAAGATTTTCTAGGCTATTTGATCAAAGGATTAAAGCATCTTTCCTCGACATAACCCCAGAGAAAAAAGTCTGGAACTCTCAAGTCAGGAGAGTAAGGTGTCCATCCTATAGGACCAGCTCTCCTTATCCGTCTTTCCCCGAATGTCATAACTAGTGATTTCCTTGCTATTAAAGAATAATGAGGTGGGGGCACCATCCTGCTGAAAATACATATCATCCAAGATACCCTTCTGTCCTAACTGTGGAAAAAAGAACATATCAGTGTATACAGTTTCTGTTATCGCTGGTTCATTAATGAAAATGGTCTGTATTTTTTCTCAATAGAGATTACACACCAAACTATTACTGTTGGGGTATCTCTATTTAACGAGTTCCAGAGAAAATTCTCTGGAACTCGTTAGATTTTCTTGGAAAATGTATTTTAACTTAATTGATATCTAAACTAGACAGTTACAAAATTGTTTGCCATAGTGATATCAAGTACCTATACAGCATAAATTTGCAACTCATAAAAAAAAACTTCAGGCCAAGAGAAATCGAATGGCGCAAACCGCAGGTGGCTAGCACACCTGGTTTAAAAGTTATAAGCATTAAAATTGGGTCACTCTCGGCTGGGACACCCTATATATTATCTAACAATCCATAGAGATATTTTGGTAAATACATTTAAAACATTCATGTCAATAGATTAGAAATAAAAAGCATACCAGTGGAGTACAAGTAGGTACTATATTTCTAGTTTCATACAATAATTTGAATGAATTAATACAAATAATATTATACGTGCGTATTAAATGTATTAAAATAATTATTCTAAATATCCGTGGAATTTCCAGTAGTAATATAACTAGTGCATAAAATATTTCCGGAAATTTTTTAAAATTTCTCTTAGGAAATATTTTATGCACGTGAAATGAACGTAATCAATATCTCTATTCGGGACAGAATCCCAGCCCAGGTGTGGTATCGCATCTGAAAATGGCGTGCATGGCAGAAAGATTTTTTTTTAAAGGTCCCAACTTATCCTGCACTAGTAGACTGAAAAAGCGGCAAAAATGTTCCAAAACTTTTTTCCAAGGTATAACTACATGAGACCTTCACAGATCGATAGAATAGGTCCATGACCACCTGAAATGGCCAATTACAACATTTTCTCGTAGGTCCAACAATTTTTATATCGAAAAATGTCATAAATTTGTCAAAATTCAGTTTTCATACTTTTTCACACATATCTCGCGATATCTCCGGAACTAATTGAGATAATTTCATCGGTTTTTTTTTATTCTGGAGAGAATACCAGCGAAAATCACCAAGATAATTTTGTTTTTCTGAAAAACTCGCTTTTTTCGTAAAACTGGGTAAAACTTCAAATTACACTTTTTAGGCAGTACTTTTTTCAGTAAGCGAGAAACTTTTTTGTTTTGAGGATTTTTGCCATACTATCGCGAATAAAACAAAACTAAGACATCAAGGAAGTTTTTGAAAAAAACCACGATTATCTGCGATGCATGGTTTTCAAGATATCGTCACATGAAGTTGAGAGTTTTACCGGCCGTGCACTACTCCGGGTAGCTTCGCTACACTTAGCGCAGCGCTGCGCGATTCTCTTGATCTGCTTGTTTCTTGAGCGTTGGTGCATTTCCATGATACATTTGAGCAAATAGACCTTGTAAATCAATTTTCAGTAGTAATAGCCCAAGGACATTGATATTTGTCCTTAAAAATTTTATAACAGATTTCGAAAGCTCGTTGCTTGAAAACTGACCGACGCGTCAGCAAAGTTCTGTTTTCTATAAGCAACAAGCTTGAGAAAGTTGTAAAATTTTTGAGCATTTATCAATGTTGGAGGGCTATTCGGATAGAATTTTTTTTGACAGCAATGTCCGAGACAACGCAATGTCACAGAGTGAAAACAACCCTAGGGCTTCTTGCAGTATAATGTTGACATGATTGGGTGATTTGTCTCACATGACAATAAATAACAAAGTTCGACTGGCTGTTAGAACTATCCAAAAATTTTCTCATGAATTATTAAGTTTTTGAGGGAGGAGGGTTCAATGAGATTTAAAAAAAAATGAGTGAATTCACCACCACTCTAACGCTAACGACTTGTTCAGAAGTAGATTCCTTTATTATTGATGGTATCAGTATGGTATCAAATTGAAGAACTAAGTACACCTTTTCCTTTCACTTTTTTCTTTCGTTACCTTTAATGAATTAAAAAACATATTTGCTACTAAAATAGTAAGAGAATGAAGGAAACACTACGCAGACAGGATTTCCGTAGCATTTGATACATATTCACTCAGTTCGTTAAAAAATATGAAAAGGCAACGACATGGTAATTCGTGAATATGAAGTGGCTGGCGGTAGGTACATAAAAAACCATGTTTCGAGAATTTATTCGATCTTCTACCAATAAACAATCACTGTTATAGCGTTTATAACAAATAATGTTTAAGAATTACTAAACCTGCGATTACAGCTTTGCAGATGGCAACACGCTTATCTCGTTTTTCATATCGTGGACTGTGGTGGAAACAACATTATCCAGTTTAAT